TTGTAAATCCAACAGCAACCAATGGAATGTTTTCCTTGTGGTAGTGGAACAACAAACCATGTGTTGTTACTCTCCATAGCCTCCAATTCCAGTTTCATAGCATTACACCATTGAGGGAGTTTGACAGCCTGATGAAAGAATTGGGGTTCACAATGAGCTGAAACACTTAGCACAAATTCCTTATGAGATGGGGACAAGGTTGCATATGATATAAAGTTTGCAATGTGATGAGGAGACTTTTGGGAGGTAAGTTTGTATTGAAAATCATGTAGATATGTTGGAGGTTTAATGGTTCTTTGTGATCTTCTAGGAGCATTATTAGGTGGTAGAACATTGGACTGATTGCTACCAATAGGTGGGGCTGTCCTTAATCCACCAGCTTGCAAATCAGGTGACAAGGAATCTGTTTGAAGGGAGTCACTTGGAATATGCTCTGGCAGAAAGGAGATAGAATTACGTTCAAGTGAACCAGAAGAAATGGCTTGATCCTAGGATAAATTCATCAATTCCTTCCTCAATTGAAAGATGCGTGGCTCATTTTTTTGTTGGAATCTCTCCTTTAAATCATTCCAGATCTCACTGGTAGATGTTGCATAGATCACACTAGCAGATATTTCCTTTGATACCAAATTCAAAATCCAAGATTATCCATGAATTGAGCAGATCAGATGGACTATCTTCAGGTTTATCTATGGTTCCATCAACAAAACCAATTTTATTTTTCATAGACAAAGCTATCAGCATAGCTCGACTCCAAGATGCATAGTTATCTCCCGTCAATTGTCGTGAAACGAGGATCAATCCTGGACTATCAGAATGATGTAGGAAATAAGGTTTGGTAGGATCATCAATGGCTAATCTGCTCGCAGATGATCTCGCATCAGGAGCATTAATTGATAAAGTTGGATCCATTATGAATTACACAGTGAATAGACTAGTATATTTTAGTAGATTTGAACTTCGATTGAAAGAAGAAGGAGATGTATGCAGCTATCAATATTGCTCTGATACCATATTGAGTAAAGAGGAAAATGAAGAAGAGTTCTATTCAATCAATTGAATTACATTACACGGCTGCATCTATATATAAACAATACAAAAGAATCTCCAGCTGTTATAACAGAAAAAGGAAGGATCCGGAGAATACAAAACTAACTGAACAAAAAGGAAATAATTAAATATAACTAACTAAACATAATTAGCTAGTTTACACATCAATAGAGATTATGTGAATGTGGGTGAAAGATAAATGGAAAGTAAAGGATTGAAAATTATGGGTAATCCCCATCCAAAAAAAACGTTCATCGTGTATTTCATATGCTCTGGGAAGTGATTGGTTAAATGGGTTCTGATACATTTTTATAGTAGGAGGAGTGGAAAGAAATTCTTTTGGTTAAAAGTGGAAGAGTGATTTGTGCTCTTACTAACACACATAGATAAAGGCAGTTCTATGTTCTGTATTTGTTGTTTCATACATTTATGTCTGCGGGTTTTTGAAGTGATACGAAAATAGTTAAATCAAGATAACTAGTGGTTTTCGGAGAAAAGATAAATGAAAATTTAGTTGTCTAAGAGCATTTTCAAAAGACTTTATATTTTTAAATAGCATATTCTATCATTTGGAGAGCATATATAAATTTAGAAAGTTAAAATTTTGAAATACTCTAACAAATTCTTTATATTTAACAATTAATTTTACTTTATCTTTTATTTTAACTAGTTTTTCTTTAGATTATTTTATTTTTTTCCTACATTGAAAATTGAAACACTTTAAATGCATTTAATTATAGAGAGTGAGTTTGACTCTCAAAACTTGGAGACTCAAACCCACTCTCTAACTTAAAATGTTAATTTAAAGAGTCTCTTGGAGCATGATTTTCAACATTGACTCTTTAAAATAGAGAGTATCTCATGTTTAAAGAGTCTTTTGAAGATACTCCAAGGTAGAATTTCAAGGATGCAGAATTGGACGGCGGATTTATGAGAAAATCTAGAGTCTATATTGCAGCTTAACTTTATTTCATTTTGAAATATGTTAGGTCATTAAAATGCGTATGAAGTTTTAAAACGATATTTGCATGGTTATTGATGCTTTATATGTTCCATGGCGAAGGGTAATGTGTAATTTAAAAAGGCATAATCGGGTGCTGAGACATTTTATGAGTAAGCCCCGAGACAAACTAAAAAAAAAAAAATCAAAATAATATAAAATATGAAAATATGCTCATGATAAACCATAAACTATATTAAAAAATTTCATAATAAAATAAATTAAGAAAATTAAAAGTCTAACTTGCAACAAATAAAAAATAGATTTGTAAAATAGTAAGTAAGTCTCACATGAGGCATGAGCCTTAGTAAATTGAGGTTTGTGCCCCACAATGGCTCTTAAGGCTTAAGCTTTTGAGCCGTTTTACTTAAGCCTCATGTGAGGCAGGATTCAAGGCGTAGCTTTAAAATAGCTTATTCTTTTAAAATAAAAAAATAAAAATGCAGTGAAGCACCTTATCATCTTGTCTATTTCTTTTGGATCTCAAACATTTCGGACTATCTCTTTTTGCTCTTGCCAGCAATACTTTTAGGATAGAGATCATGGCAAAAGGCACCGTTCCTTTGGTGAAGATCATCAACAATTTAGTACAGGATAAAAAAAATAAGAAACCACAATTTCCCCGTATGTTAACCAAAGCTGCGGTATCTGTTTATTATTTTGACCTTTTAAGTAAATGCAATATGAGTTGGCTGCTTTTCATGGCATCTTTTTCGAGTTTCTGCTTTCTGAATTCTGAGTCAAGGATTAAGTTGACTGAACTTATCATTGTACATAACCACAGAACATATGATCATGTCTTTCCATACATGTGTAAATTTTTTGAACCAGTCAAGTCCATTGAGTTCAGTATCACTTTGGATCCAGAAAGAATTGACATCTTGCTGTGGAAGGTGCAAGTGCAAGTTGTTAGGTTTTAGCTGATTTTGTAATTGGCAAATTCTGTGGACAAAAGCAATTAATTTGATAGGATGTAAAAGTTCAAGGAATAATGTGTAATGTTTTCAAAAGTTAGTTAGTAGGTCTAGGATTTCGAGTTTGGAACAAGGAGGAAAACGATGCGGATTTTCGCTGGACTTTCGCCAAGGATTGGCTCGAGCTACAAAAGCAGAAGCACTGTTGCTAGACCGTCGTCGCTCCTTCGCTCGTCGACTGTCGCTGGGCCCTCACTCAAGCAACAGTGCTGTCTGGGAAATTTTTATTTCGCGATTTCAAGGCTTTTTACTTGGCTCATTCGTTTCTTGACCTACCTATAAATACCAAAACACTTCTGTACAAATTTTATGAGGTTGAACATAGAGAGAAAAAGATTACAAAGTGATTCCTTCATATTTGATTATTTCAATCTTCATCTGTGAGTGTTTTGGTGAGAAAAACATCAGTCCCATAATCCAAATACCAAATCACTATTTCCTCTTCATCTGGTCAGAGTTCTGAAAATCGAAGGAAATTGACAGGAGTTCCTGTCAGTGAAGAACATGTCGTTCTTCGTGATCCACGTGAGATAAACGAATTCACAAGGTTTGGAGTGCTGCAGAGTAGCAGATTCCATGTAGAACTTTGGCAGCAGCATCTAAGGATTGGTGCAGGAGAGCACGGGATCCACAGAGAGCTGTAAGGAGTGCAATCGGGTGATCAGATAGTACGAGTCATTTAGTCTGGTTGACTGTAAGTTGTTAAATTCGTTTATAGTAGATTAACTGGCAAAGTACCCAGAGTTTTTCCCAATTGGGTTTCTCCGTGATCATTCTGGTGTTGATTACTGCTTTCACTATATTGATTGATTATACAACTGCGCTATTCAAACTTAGGACTGAAACTGACTTGCATGATTAACCATCTAGATGAGAANATTTCTCACTTAACATCTACCCGGCTTCAGGGAATCTCATGAACAAAGGACTCTTCATCTTCATGACAACCTTAACTTTACAGAATCGCCTGTCTGTTTAATAAATTATTAATTAACTTTGAGAAAATTATAAGATTAGAACATCACAGATATGCAAATCGGATTCATATATGTTTGGCTAAGCTTAAAAATTACTTTTAAGTAATTTATACGTATTAAACATGTTTGGCAGAAGGTTGGTTGTATCTAAAAACTGAGATATCCTTGATCAACTACATCACGTATAAATACAAGAAGGATTCGAGTACAAGACACCATCACAAGATAATTAGTATCACAATCTTTGCATGCAGTGCAAGATCACGATCACGAGCACAAGCCATAGCTTGTATGATTATCACAAATTACATATCCAAGTACTGTATCCATCCATTTGTAAAAGTAGTAAAATTTCTTTGGAAGATATATTAATCAAGAACTCTACTCTCTGTATGATAGATATAAAATATTTGGATAAGGCTTTGAAAAAAGATCAAGTTGTTCGTCATGGAACAACATATATAAGTATAACATGTACAATTTTTAGGTGCCTAGGAACTGAGATGTCCACAGAAGCTATGGCATCACATATCGCCTATGTTTGGTAAATCATTTTGTAATTATAAATTGTGGATTTTACGGAATGTGTGGATTAACAAGTGGAACATTTCCAACCGTTATGTGGTTATCAATAACTTCAATAGTGTGCCTTAACTTATGGAATTGAATTAACAGTAACTTCGTGCTATTGGAGTTCAGTATCAATTTGGATCCAGAAAGAATTGCATCTTGCCATGGAAGGCGCAAGTGCAAGTTATTATAAAACTTTGACAGATTAGTTTTATTTTTTCGTGATTGTCATTAGTATTTTGCAATATCATAAGAGTCGAATTGGGTTAGTCGGTTCGACTGGAAAAACAGGGAATGCCAAAACAACAGAACGTCATACAATTAAGCACCAGCATACAAAGAGGTATACAATTAAAGAACGCACAAGAATACCAAAACAATGGAAACAAACAGTAAAAGAACAATTTTTTTGCAACTGAACTTGTCTGCTTAGGTTTTGCGCGGAAAAACAGTAAAATATGTCTGTACCGCTGTAAGGAAAAGGGCGATAATTGCACCTAGAACGGCCAAGAAAGCCCAAGGACTGCTAAAATATTTATGCATCCATTCTTCAACCATCCACGATTGTACCCAGGCTGGTAATTTTTTCTGGCAATGATTTTCAATCTGATAGTTTGCATATGCATATGAAAAAGAATCAGGTGCCAAATCCTTAGATATCTCGTCAAAGAGTTGAAACAATTTTTCATCACTGCCTAAATAGCTGACAAGAATTCTTTTCTTCTCGAGCTCTTTAACATCATCAGGATGATGAATGAGTGAAGCCATTAGACAAATGTATGACGTAATGTGCAAATCAGAAGGGCCATGGGGACACTTTTCATAAGCTACCAAGTTTAATAGGAAAGATTTTGTTGTATCATCAACAATGAGTGGAGGAAGTGTAAGAGTACCATAAATAAGGTGAGATTTGAATTCTACATCAGTAAAATTTCCAGTTTGGCTTGGTTTGAAATGAATTCCTGCTGATTTGAGCTCAGTTACTGAACGACGCGATTCCCATTCGAACAATAAGCTCTTGTTTGAGTCTTCATGCATAAATGGACTGACGAAGTGTTCCCGCAGTAGATGTAGAAGGTGAGGGCTTGAATCCAACTCTAGTTTCCATTTATTCATTTCTTGACCACTTGTAGTGCTGCGTCCCTTCATTCGTGCAAGAAAATTCTCGACAGCATTAGTGTATGAATGAGGTGGCATTAAGATGTACGGCTTCGGGAACTTCTGTTTAAATGGTGTCTGGTCTTTTTCTCTTCGAAACCTGAATTTCAACAGAACTTTTAGTACTAGTAAAGGAATTTGATTCTCTAGCAAGAGCAAGTCCCTCAACACAGAGTAGAAACTCTTAACCAGTCGTTCAGTAACTTCGTTTTGTTCCTCTTCCTGTAAGTTAGTACACAAAACATAAAGCACAAAGCAAGCATCAAGAAACATTATTCTGTTGAACAATTCATCGTCATTACAAGCCGAGCCTTTCTCATAGCATTCGCGGGCCCTTTCACCCTCCATTGCCACCGTTTCATACATCAGTTCGATGGAGAGTTTATTTTCACAGGCATGCCAAAATTTCTGCGCGATTGGAATTTTTAGCTCCTCAAATGCTTTGAGATTTGGATTTCCATGATGATAAGGGCCTATCGAAACTACGAGAGGATCAAAACAACCATTTTTTGATTCACGCAGCAGTGATGGAACCCTTCCTATTTGGGGTTTCTTTGTTGTGTCGTTAACATAGTCCCTTATAGAAATCAACAACTTATCCTTGCCGCCTTCGGTAATGTTATCGCTTGATTCTTGTGATTTTGTGCAAGTTTGAGAGATTTCAGCACTCTGGTTATCTTCTGTGGCTGGATCTGTTGTCATCCCTTGAACATGAGCATGAATTTGAGTAAGCACATATTATTAGCAGCTTGTTTGATAAAATTTTATCAACATAGTCAAAATTAAATTTTTAAACACATGTTTCAAGGAATCCATAATGTTTATCAATTTTTCAATCACATATTTCATTACTTTTATAAAGATCTGTTTAAATTGTTATTAAAAACGTTGTCAAACAACTCCTAGATTGAAGTTTTAGGTCAACCATCATGTGCTTTGAGGGAAAAAAAAAAAAGAAATTAGAGTAAATATTTACTACTAGAATGAAGACAAAACAGTAATCATATTAGATTTAGAACTTGACAAGAATTTTGAAAAACTTTATTTTTATATCCAATTCTATCTTGAAAAATAACCTATGATTATTAAATGCAACAAAAAATTAGATAACATGCAATAATGATTAGTAATTGTAACATGTGTCCGTATTAACAATTGGACATAATTAGAAACAATATATAAGGTAGAGTTAAATGTTAACAAACAAGAATAATATTTAAGAAAAATCCTTCACGTAAGGTGGAGTGGGGGTACCTTTTGATCCCATGGAGGATAAGCAGCAAACTTATGTTTGTAATAATAAGTAAAAAGATGTTTCTTTGTAATAGCATACGAAACATTTTCTTGTATTTATAATTGTCATAAGAAGGGAATATCTCAGACATACTTAATTTTGTAGAATCACTTTAGAAATCTTCCTACTTTATTTTCAGCAAATTATAAGCATAGAATAATAGTATTATGCTGTTCTTTTAAAAAATTTTCCTTTTTTCTTCTCTTCTCCATTTTAAGCGTGTAAACGAATAGAAAAGTTGTACATACTTATTAAGATATGTTGAGAAGTTGAGGCAAGATTACAAGCATCAAGCAATACTTCTAGAGCTTGTTTGGGAAATTATTTTTGAAAATCATTATTTTCAAAAGCGTTTTTAATCACATATTTTATGGGACTCATAATTTGAAGTTCCTTATAAAAATTACTTTTACTTGAAAAAAATATCTCCCAAACATGTTCTTAATTTGACCCCAAGCAAACAAAACATAAGCTACAAATAGTATGATATGTATGAGCTTAAGATACATTAATTTGGTAACTTGCTAAATAGATTTCATGAAAATGGAAAATTACAACACATGGAAAACCCTCAAACAAGGGTTAGGACTTTGAGTTTGAATGAGCAAAATAGTTCTGTTACATATATAGTCTAAAAGAATTATAGACTTGATTTCAAGACGAGCTTAGTACAGTATTAAAGTTCGACTTGAACAAGTAAAAATATTAAGGTGTATGTCACAAATATATTCTTTTCCGAGTCTGAACAAATCTACAAATTCTTTGATTCCAATTAGGAAGAGGGATCTTGAACTAAAAAATAGACCCTAAAAGCCAAAAGATCTCTCCTTAAATTCATTTTAATTTCACTATTTAGCAATTTGATTACAAATCTTGTGTTCATTATAATTGACATCATATTATATACTCTTTTACATGTTTGGTAAGGTAGAAAATATAATATTATACGAAATTAAAGAAAAAAGGAAAGTTGAATTCTTGATTATAATCATATGCAGTCGAGCCTAATAGTGCATAATACATATTAGTTATATAAAAAAAATTTATGGTCTCCTTTGTTCATCTATTTCAGTCTCCAATGAGTAAGAAATGAATAGATCATGCAATATATAAGTAATGTTCTTGTATATCAATCCTAGTGTTGTATATAACACAAAAGGAACTATTTTAAACAACTTTAAAAAAAAGCTTAGAATTGTGCTAGGAACTATCTTTTCAATAGCACAAGTTTAGAATATTAACATGCTAAGCACAAGGAATTATTGAACGTAATAGACACACCATGCAAATCTTAAAAAATAATTTATTTATTTATTTAGTTCTTGTTTTGTTTAGATAAAAATTAATTTTTAGTAGATTAATTTGATAAAATTGGTGGAGTACGGTTGAAAAGTTTTGAGTCCCACGAAACATATGTTTAAAATAAATTCTTGATTTAGATGTTAATGAACTTTTTTAGATGAACCAAACAAGAGCTTATTATTTTTTATGCTATGATTTCTCCTTTGTATTTTGTCAAAATTTTAAAATCCGAAGTAAAAATATAAATATTTCCCTATATTATAGGAGGATTAAAGAAAATTTGATATCTATATATAAGAATGCAATTTTCATTTATTGACTGCATGGAGGTTAATATCAACTATACTATACCTTCACAACATATTTAGTAAGGTGGATTTAATAATATTATATATTATTAAAAAGGAAAAAATATAATATTATGTATTGTATAATTTTATTCAATATTGTATACCAAACACGTCATTAGTGACGGAATTCAACAAAATGGCAAATAAAATGGTTGGATCTTCCTTCAACTTGCCAAAAAAGGTTAGCTAACATAATAATATATTGAACTTGAAAAATAATGTGTAACAAATTAAATTGAGGTGCGGTTATCTCTCTTTCCTTAGGGAGATTCGGTAATAAGTTGACTCGACTTATACAAGTGCATATAATAATGCCTTTCCATATATAAGCGTAGTTTTTTTCACCAATCATACGACGTCGTTAGGATAGAAAAATAAGTTTAAGTTTTGAGAGCTTTACATGTTTGGTAATAACAACCTGACTATATCTTTGTTCGCCTCTTTACATGGTACTTATAAGTTAGAACGAGGAGATCAAACAACTAAAAAATATAATGTAACAATATGTTGTATTTTCATGTGTAAATCGTAGTACTTAGTATGTATCACAAAAGCAACTATTTTGAACAACTTTACGCACATAACAATTTAGAGAGTTGTAGCATTATATGCGCTCACAAGTTAAGAATATCAACATGCTACACATAAGGAATACTCAATCAAACTTTGCCCATGTTTGGCACCCATTCTCTTTATAGCATAATCAAGTTTTTCGTTATCGTCACATATTTACTATATCTACAAAAAAATTTAATTTCTCCAAAGTAAATATAGGAATATTGAATGATAATAGAAATTCTAGATTTATAAGCATGCAATTTTAGTTTATCAAGTGCGTGGATGTTATATCAATGGCACACCAACATTTGTGAATGTTTAGAAGTGTGAATTTAACAATATTAATCTAACAAGCGTCATATACTTGTTTCATGTTTTTTCAACTCCTCTTCAACATCCCATCCCAATCCAATCTGGCTGAGAGAATAGGATTTGATCAACTTCAAAACAAGTTTTAGTTGAAGAGTATTTGCTCTGCAGTGTTAAGTTACAGTTTAGAAATCGCTGATCACAAAAGGGTTCCCTCTAATGGAGAAACATTTAGGCAACATTAGAACTAAATAATTGTCAAGAGATTTGCAATTTAATTAAAAAATTGACTAAGGAAGATGGGGGTTGGAGTCTTGTTTGTAGACATAAAAAAATAAATAAATAAAATAACAAATAATGTGTTGGGTCAATTTAAATAATTAGCCCAATTAAATTTACTATATTAAAGCCTACTACCAATAAAATTTTAAAGGCCCGTTCCACTTTTTCAAAATCCACAATTATTTAATTATAATCAATTATAATTGAATTAATTGAGTGGTTACCA